AGAAAATAACCGCAGCCTCGTCCATCAGTGTTTACAGTAATCAGCACCACCAGTGTAATGTGTGTGTTGCCTTACCTGGTGAGGGCACTACAGTTAAGGTTTGATTGGAGAGGGGAGCCGAATACAGCTCAGTTGGAATTATTATACAAGGTGTTGAGTCTTGTTTATAACATGGTGTCAGAAGTATCGAATTCCAGCACAATATGGAAGGACTAAAGCCGCCACAACCACTGTAATTTGAAGGTAACACGGCAGAGAACTGGAAAAAATGGAAACAAAAATTTGAACTATACATGACCGCATCGGAAGTCGACACGAAAGATAGGACAATACAAAGTTGCACACTGCTACACGTTATTGGAGACGAAGCCCTACACTGTAAAAAAAAAATCCGTAAAATGTAGGCAGTTGTGGTTGACGGAATTTTACCGTAAAAAATACGGTAGCAACATTTTAGGTTTTACGGTTTTAACTTAAATTTACTGTTAAATACCTGATATATATTATATATCATATACCATTAACTGATATACCTGAAGTGATGATAATGGATTGCCCAGCTTATGCTTCACCTGATTTAGCCTTTTTCAGTCGGTCATATAGATTCAAATACGTTACGTCATCTCAAGGGTACCCACAAAGTAATGGCAAAGCAGAAAAGGCTGTTCAGGTGATTAAGTCACGCTTTTAAAAAAGCAAAGGCATTGGCATGGTTGAAGTATGTGAGGCACCACGAGGCACTTATGTGGTGGAAAGGGATGGTCAAAAACTCAGTCGCAATAGAAGACATATCATACAGACCAGCGAACAACAACAAAGGCAAAAAAAAAGAGTGTATTTCCCAATTGCCACACACAGGAGAAGAGGGAAGTACTGAAATTGATGCCCAATACAGGGTTACAGAGCCCAGTGTTAATTTTTTTGTGAGACTTTATTTTTGCAATGAAATTATGAATTATGCAAGATTGCAAAAAAAGCGAGATTTTGCATTGGATTCAGTGAATCATGACAAACTGGAGTCATGCAGTGAGAGCAGAGCAGCAGTCCCAAACCCACAAAGTAATGGCAAAGCAGAAAAGGCTGTTCAGGTGATTAAGTCACGCTTTTAAAAAAGCAAAGGCATTGGCATGGTTGAAGTATGTGAGGCACCACGAGGCACTTATGTGGTGGAAAGTGATGGTCAAAAACTCAGTCGCAATAGAAGACATATCATACAGACCAGCGAACAACAACAAAGGCAAAAAAAAAGAGTGTATTTCCCAATTGCCACACACCGGAGAAGAGGGAAGTACTGAAATTGATGCCCAATACAGGGTTACAGAGCCCAGTGTTAATTTTTTTGTGAGACTTTATTTTTGCAATGAAATTATGAATTATGCAAGATTGCAAAAAAAGCGAGATTTTGCATTGGATTCAGCGAATCATGACAAACTGGAGTCATGCAGTGAGAGCAGAGCAGCAGTCCCAGCTCAGAAAGATGATTTAAACTCTGTTGCAACACTTATTTTGATATGCAAAAAATTTATATAGTGCTTTAGCACGAATCCAGGCTTGAGATTTCTGTTTTGCACTGCTCGGTATGATCTCGCCCCGTTATAAGTGCTGTACAGTGACATGATTGTTGTTTTTGAGGTGTTTTAGTGCGTGTTATTTTCCTAATTTAGCCTAGAAAGGTTCAACTTTGATATAATGGTTCAATCACATGTAATAAAGTGGACAATTGTTAAATTGTGGCAAACTATGTTTTAAAGCTTTGTAAACACACTCTTAAATCACGCATTTTATATCTAATTAATTTGACATGAAAATGTTATCTTTCCCCAAAGCCCTGCTTCTGTACATTTAGCTCTGCGTAGCTCTTAGTTTTCCTTTCGTTTGTTCAGATGTTTTGGTGCAGATGTGCAGTGAGTGATCGTCTGCTGCTCCTCAACTTCTAGACTCTCAATTAACTTGATTTAAAAACTCTGCTGTTGCCATGGAGATCAGAGAGTGTCGCCTTGGAGACAATAAAAGAGTTTAGCTTCATTCAGCCGCTGGACGCTGCTTCATGCGCTCCACTCCTGATGTCATGTCATGTAATGCCTGTCAATATATATATATTTCCTCTATGTGGTGAAAATATAATGAAATTCTGCCATAAACTAATGTCATACAGTAACATTTAAAAGTTTGGATTTTTAATGTTTTTGAAAGAAGTCTCTTCTGCTCACTAGGGCTGCATTTATTTGATCAAAAACAGTAAAAATTGTGAAATATTATTTTTGAACATTAGTGATATATATATTTTAAATATTTTTTTTACACATTATGGAAACTTTAAATTAACCACCAACTATGACTTTTAATTATGAACATCTCTCAACACGTCTCAACACTTTTGCTCTTTTTATTGTTTTATCATCATACCTGCTTAATTTCATGGGAAATCAGTATGTTTTTGTTATTAATTTAAATTTAAGCGACACACAGGTATTACAGTAAAAGTTCAGGATCTCATCATCTCAGATCTGCAGGTAGTTTAGCTGTGTTTTTGGTGTGTGTGTGTGTGTGTGTGATATATAACTGCAGTGTGTCTCCGGATCGTCCTCAAATACTCTATTTTCCACTCCGGCTCAGTGAGGATTCTGGGAAAGGCCTTCATTATTGTGTTGGCTTCAGTCAGCGCTCGTGAGCTTCTGCTGGAGCCGCTGTATAAACAGAGCCTGAGTCCTCTCTACTGACCCCAGATCAGCGTCGAGTGACACCAGAGCTGGATTCACCCTCATGACGGGACAGAAGCGCTGATGAAGGTTTCATACGGTCGTAATGAACTCGTTCTGTTTAATGTGCCTTCACTGCCTGTGAGTGTGTGTGTGTGTGTGTGTGTGTGTACCTGATATTCCCTGTGTTATGGGGAATAAATATCCCCACAAGGGTAGTAACACCAGTAAAAGAGGTAGGGTTAGAGTAAGGGGATAGAAAATACAGTTTGTACAGTAGAAAAACCATTAAGCCTAAGGAACGAACCCATAAAACATGGAAACCACTGTGTGTGTGTGTGTGTGTGTGTGTGTGTTTCTTCAGGACTGAGTGTTCACTCTAATGATGTGGTGTTTGTGAATCAGCTGGAGCTTTAGCTGTTTATGGTTCAGCATTAGTTTAAGTGAGCATTTGAACGTCTGCTGGGACTTTTTCAGTGTCACAGATGGAGATGTGAGTTAATGGAACTAGTAAATTATATTGAGGCATTTATAGTAAAAAAAAAAAAACTCCATACTGACCATATTTCAATTGCAGTTGTGGTTCATTGAAGCAGCATGATGAATCCTCGGGGCATCTGCAGCACAAATAGCATTAAAGGTCCAGACACTACAGGTGCAACCATTGTTTGATTGTTTTTATTTTTATTTTGTTTTGCACTGGTCAATGTTGAGATTTTTTGGTCTGTTTTGCTTCCGTAGCATGTCTCTTCATTCAGACTAGTGGAAAGAAAACATCCAAAATACACATTTAAGTGTTTATTCTATTGCACTTTATCTATTTTTGTCTGTAGACTTCAATTCTAATCTTTAAATAGTTTTTTCTCTTACAAACAGCAAACTTTACAGTTTTATTCCTAGCTATATTCTGAAGGCTTTTACTGAGTGGTTTGTTCATCCATCCATCCAAAATATATGCAAATGAGTGCATATTCCATTAGATCATCTCTCATTTGCATACTTAAACATAACTTTTCAGAAAGCTTGTAATATAAAACACTTGTCATAATGTACCATGATGAATCAGCTGCTGAAGTGTGGTGAGATCTGTTCACCTCCAGCATCTCGCCTTGAAAGAAATAACTTATCATTCTTGAATACTGACTAAATGTGTTTGTAAACAGATTGACGTGTTGGTGTGTTGAACCTGCTGCTGCTGGATGAATGAGGTGAGCGCTTCACCTGAGGAGGTGTTACTATGGTAACGGAGCAGCTCCACTGCCCACCTGTGCCTCACGTTCACTGCAGCTTACCTGACATTCGTTTGAACTCTTTGAACATTTGAGGATGATATTATAAACATTAGTTTTAAAGAAAGGCATAATTTTCTCCCCCTCATTTGGTTTCCAACCTGTATGACTGTCTGTCTTTCTTTCCTCTGTGAAACACTAAAGGAGTCGTTCAGCAGAATGTTCACGCTGCTCTTTTACAGCGCATGAGCAGATGCTGCTGAGCTCCGGAAATGAACTCAGTATCAACTCGGACAGACTCTGTGTTTTACACCTAGAAACTCTCTAAAGCTGCTTTGGAACAATAAACATTTTGATGAGCGCTAGACAAATAAACAAAGAAACGCAGATGAAGACGAATCCTCGGGAGCTGGCGCTCATCTGGTGACACACGTTCATGCAAACACACACAGAACTCATGCAATCTGTCCACATAGTGTTCATTTTTATCATTTTTATTTATTTAATAGAAAAATAACACTGGTTCACTTCAAAAAATCTACTTCAAACTTTCAAATGGTAGTGTATGATTTATGTTTTTGAAAAAAGTCTCTTCTGCTCACCAAGGCTGCATTTATTTGATATACTGAAATATTGTTACAATTTCAAACAGCTGTTTTCTATGTGAATCTCTGTTAAACTGTAATGTATTTCTGTGATGCGCAGCTGTATTTTCAGCATCATTCCTCCAGTCTTCAGTGTCACATGATCTTCAGAAATCAGTATAATATGCTGATCTGCTGCTCGAGACACATTTCTGATTATTATCAATGTTGAAAACAGTCGTGCTGCACAATATTTTTGTGGAAACTGTGATATATTTTATTTTTCAGGATTCACAGATGAATAGAAAGTTCAAAAGAACAGCATTTATTTGAAATAGAATTGATGTGATATGCATATATTAGCGGTTCATACTAACACATTCTCTCTCTCTCTGTTGGTTCATTCTGACAGAATGTGTTGGTTTATTGGTTGTGGTGATGTTTTCTCTTTGTCTGCGCTGTGTTCTCCTTAACTGGTGTACGTGGTT